GATGCAGTCCGATGGAGTTCTCAAAGCTGGGAACGGAGAGGTGTGCAGCGAGCAGACCGCAGAGGAGGCAGCATGTTTTCCTTTGGAAAGGGGCAATAATGACTGTGCAGTAGACTGGAAAGATTTCGCTATATAAAAGGTCTCGGTGTTAGCAGCATCAATAGAAGCTTTCGCACATTTCTTTATTAAAAAAATAAATCAGACGTTAACCTTTAGAGTGAGATAGCAGTTCAGTCACCATTTCTTACACAAGCTATTGCAGCTGAAAATGACTATGGGAAAACTTCCTAATTAGCCCTGTTGGGGTTTTTTGTTTGTTTTTTAAGAAGAGAAAAGTAGCTGAACTTCTGAATCTAGTTTCCTGTGGAAACAAAGCTTACGCAATCCGTGTTTGTCCTGTACCTAATAATTTTTGTAACCCTCTGGCAAATCGGATTTTGACAAAGAGTGATAATGTTAGATATAATTATCTTAAAAAAAACTTTTCATGAAATCTGGCAGCAGGCTGAGGGACAGAGGGTCAGGTTACTGCCTTGACTGAAGAAAAGGCAAGAGGATCTCAGCCATTATATGTTGCTTGCCAGCCAGCTGGCCAGTCAGCACACACGTGCCGACAGTGAGTATTTTTATAGCTCCAGACTAGTCCCAGAATCTGTTGTCTCTTGGTAGTGACAGTGTCATCAGAGGCATGAGGAGAGCTAGGATTATTGTGGTGAAGGAGAAAGATGTGGGACAAAGGACACAATTCCGTAGGAAATCGGGCTTCGGTAGTTCTGCTGCTCAGGAACAACGTGTTTGTCTAACAATAGCTTTCTGCCCGGGCACATACGTCAGAACCAGATTAGATTTCTATTTGCATACCTCCTTACCTTTCTCAGGAATGCCTCCGGCATAAAACTCCTCAATTTCTCTTTCCTCCTGAAGGCATGGGTCTCTCCTGGAGAGTAACTGTAAAAGTTGCATCTTATTTCTTAATAGATTTATTACTTTGTTTACTTAGTCAGATGAACTGGGTTTAATAACAACATCAAATGTTTGCTGCATTTTAATCCTCTTGGCTCTTCAGAAACAACATAACAGAGAGAGAGCAAATGATCTGGATGCAATGCCATGGAGCAGAACCTGAAGACAGTATTGTTGTGCAATGTAAACAAGGCATAAATTTATCCTACGGAACCCTTGTAGCTGATGATCTGAGAGGGAAAGAATCCAGTGGATTTCTGAAACATAGGATGAGCCTGTAGCACTGACAGGAAGAACAGGATTTTTTTGTTTTCTTGTAAACTGAGCACATTTTATATGTACTTGTTGAAATAATAAGCATGGAAAAAAAACAAAAAACATAAAAAACAACTCAACAAAAAAAAACACCACCACAAGAAAACTTTTACAGCCAGTGTTCAAAAGAATGCTAAAGTATCCAAGGGAGTTTTTAATCTGCAGGGAAAGAGAACAGGATCTGTGCTCTTCTATCTGTCTTACGTAGTATAAGGTCTGCATTATGCTCATTATAATGATACCAGTGCTTCTAAATTAAAGTAGCAATGCCGAGATTCCACAGGGATGTGTGTCAGAAATGCATGTGCTAGTAATTAAAACAGAGTTTTCAAATATTGCTTCAGATTCAGACAAGAATCTTTTTATGCAGTTGTGTAATAAAAAAAAGGAAGCTAGAGCCAAACTGGGGGGGCCAGTAATGGTACATGACACAGCCACTGACACAACATGAGACCTTGCATGCTATTGTTGCTGCTAGCCCCACTGAAGAAAAGTGTTTTCAAATACTAGGTAACATTTCAGCAGCTCAGCTTTTATGGAAGTCCATCCAAAGCCCAGCTGAATGTTCCCACTGCTAGCTACTTTGAAAATTCACTCCAAAGAATAGCTAGTAACTTAGAAAGAAAAAGATAAAATTACAGTGAAACGGATATTGCTTTATTAGACCCTACCACTGGGCTACTCCATATCCAGCTATTAGTACTGTGCCTTTTAGGGGCAAGTATTTGACGCTTCAGGGGGAAGGAAAAAAAAAAAAAAAGGGCAAAGAGCCAACTAAGCTGTGCTACACTTTGTGGGGATAGGGGATAGTCCTTCCTTATCCCTCCATGGACAACGGGTTTGTGGAAAGAAATACAGAGCAATTGCCCTAATCACAGTCTTAGCAAATGCGATTAATGATCAGTTTTCCAACATTTTGGCAAATCCTATCTTAGTGTTATTTGCCTTGAATTCCTCCCACAGCAATAAGCTGTGTGAGTTGACGAAATGCAAATGCAAAAAGCACTACCTTTTGTGTCCCAGGGGTGCTATAACTTGATTATAGACAACCTACTCTTTAGTAGCTGACCTAATTTCTTCTGATGTTATAATTTTAGAAGGAAGTTTTTACAAGCTCTTTGTACATGATATGGATTAGTACTCCAAGATATCTCGGACAAAAAAGGAGATGAAAAATAGTGGTTTTGTTCCTGGTACATTGTTGGCTTAATTTAATTGGGTGTGTCCAGTGGAGGAACACAGGAGCCTAATTTTAAGACTTTCTGATTTTGTTCATGTTGCTTTTATGTGTTCTGAGGCTAAAATAAAGCTAATGACTGAGCTCCAGTCATCAGCTTAACTGCTAAGAAATTTTACACTGAGTCAAACGTAATGCATTGGTACACTTACAGTCCAGCAGCTCAGATCTACTTTCAAAACAAACACCTCAAATGTGTCGTTAAAAGGCCAAAATACACCCACTGTCAAGGCCTGCATCCCAGTAATGTGGCTGTGTGAGTCCTAGGCTGAGTCAAGGGGATCCTGCTAAAAGCAACACTTTGCCCAGTGCGGTGGTGAAGGGGATGGGATTTGTCTCGCACAGTTTGTGCAGTAACGTGCTATAGTCTGTCGATGTTTGCTCAGTCGCACCTAGTCAAACTGGTTTACTTTGTCTCCTGCCTCATCATTTGTAAGTAATCCTTTCTCTATTTTTTTTTTTTTTTAAACTTGCTGATACTCACAGTTGTGCTGGAATTGTTATTAGAAATTATCGAGGTGGAAAAAATAGAGCGGGCTTCAGAGGCCTTGTCCAGAGTTCATATTTAACTGCTTGAAATCACTTGCTTTTGATATATGTTCATTTAAGCAAGTAATACATATGCCTGAGTGTAGCACAATGCTTCAGAGTCCTTCCCAGCCCTTCCCTATGCGGTTCAAATAACTACGTTTTTCTGTCATGGCACGTGCCTAGTGAGAAATCAGAAAGTGTTTTTTGAATGGCACAAGCTGAAACCTTTCCCCTTGCTCACAAGGGGAGAAAGGCTGCCTTGCAGCAATTTTTAATCCAGGAATGCAAACTCTGGGGAGATGAAGTCTCTTGAATAGCTGACAGCAGTCCTAATTTAGAGTAAAGCATTCTGGGACTAAATAAATGGCACACTGGAGAGAGAAGTAGATCTGGAAGGAGCCTGCAGAAATTGTGGATGAGTAACCTAGGTTATTGTGCTAATGAGATTATGTTTTGCTTTGAAATCTGCTCCTGTAGAGAGAGGCTGAGTCACATTGTCTTGGCCTGTGTCACGGGGAGGGGGAGGCTGGGATTTATTTTCAAAGACCAAATTAGGTGTACAGCTCCCAGAGAGTGCCCCAGTCCCCTGCCCCCCCCACCCCCCTCACAGCTATCCGAGAGAGTCCCAGGGAACTTCTCCTTTTAGCCTCCTTTATGCCACCCGCCGCTGTTCTCCAGCCAAGCCTCCCCAGACCTCCCTTCTGCCCTCCGCACACCTTTTTAACTTTTTAACTTCGCCGCTGGTGTTTGGCGAGATCACTTTTCCCCCCGGGGTCTGGCCTGGGAAGTGGCTGACAGCAGGGACAGCCACCCTGCCTGCCTCCCACCCCATTTTCTCCAGGCTGGGGCTTCCCTGCCCACAGCTGGGCCCCCCCAGAGCCCCCTGGTCCAGGGGAACCTCTCTGCGCTGCCAGGAGCCCCCTTTTCCAGGGAGAGTGGCTTTCTCCTCCCCGCAGGCATTGCAATGCTATCAGCCTCGGCTGAGGCGGTGTTTGATTTCCCTGTTTTATCTTCGAGCACCAAGTGGAGCGTTTCATATCTATAAAAATGTGTATATTATATATCCTGTTACGGTGATACGACATACAATGGGAATAGGCTGGTCTAAGTCCCTTACATATAACTTATCAGCCTCCCTAATAGGGAATTCGTGGTGGTTTAATTATATTGATGTAGTTGCAGCAATACCTAGCTGTCTGTGTAAAAATAGGATGAGAAGAATTCCTTAAGTAAGAGAAAATTTGCTGGCCAGTTTTACAAAAACCTTCACATGCATAACTTTTGTTTCAGGTGTCTTGTTACTCCCCGTACATGAGAGAAGCTCTTGTTTATAATGGGCTGATTAGTCATTTGACAAGTAAGCATGTTTACTCATAAAGCAACCTATCTAGCTCCATGCGTGACTAAACTGAGTAGCTACATAATTATATTTCTGTAACTCCAGCCTTCTCTGCTGCACCCCTTTCCTTGTGCAGGTTTGTTTTATTGTCTCCTGTCTGTCATGTCCATCGCTCAGGCCGTGCACTCCGCAGCACAAAGCGCAGTGCCCAAGGTGGTGTTTGACCGCAGATATGTTCTGTATTGATACATTTTACAGCTCACTTGTTCCGCTCAGAATTCAGAGGTGATAGTGATTTAAAAATTGGAAGGAGAGAAGACTCATCTTCAAGTGTCTCCAAACTTGTATTCAGCCTTACTCATCGCTTTGAGTATTAGGCAGAAGTGTCACTAGAGTTTTTGTGGGACTGGATGTTCTCCACAAATATGAGCATTCATATGGCTTCTAGGAGAGGTGGCAGAACTACATCTACAGAGTATCAGGCTCCAGGGCTCCAAACTTGCAAAATTACTTTGTTTAGATTGGCATTAACAGGGCTACATAAAACAGCACTGTTCAGAGGATGAAGCCCTAAATTAGAAAGCACTAGGCAGAAATTCAAACAGACTATGGAATTGCTGGACTGGGCAAAAAAAGCTGTTAGCCTGGTAAGTCCATCTCATTCATTTTCTTCCTTTCTCAGTGCAGTGCAGCCACAATTTCTATCCCACATATTGTCCTTAAAAATATTTTAATATTTGTTTCAGTGCACTCTGGGCAGTTAATAGATTTTTTTTTTTCCTATATTCGTGATTGCTTGGCTTTCATCAACTTCTGCTCATTTGTTCGTCGTACTCTTTAATACCTTAGTGGGGAAGAAGAACAACCCAAAAATTTTTTTCAGTTTTATCAAATTTTTCTTTAATTGCTGTTGGGCACTTTTTCTTTCTTGTAGGCTGCTAAATTAGGGGTTAACTCTACTTTCCTAGCTAGTTTCTTCATTTACCTAAAAGGGGAAGGGTGGAGGGGGAAGATAGCTTGCCCAAGTTTTATGACTTGTATTATAGCTATTCAGGCAGGATGAAAAGAAGCAGGAAACAAGGAGTGTCAGCAAATTTCACAAGGATTAATGTTTGCACCACTAATAAAGCAGAAGAAACCTATGGCATGATAAGAAGTAAAAGTGATCAGAAGAGTGTGTGACAGTGAAGGAGGAAGAAAATTAAAAGTTGAATGATGTGAAAAGAGGGACTCGGGGTGGGGGGGGGGGGGGAGGGATTTAAACAGGTGAGAATGGGCAGGAATAATTGTGTTGATTTTTGGTTTGTAATGGGGGGAAGGGGCAACTACAGATTTCTCCCACAGGGGAGATGAAAAGGGAGGGAACATACAAGTGTTGTGACTTTGAGAGAAAACATGATCCAGCTGCCTTGGGGTGGGACTGGCCTTGATTAGTCCAAGCAACAGTGTAGGACAAAAGGAAGGACAATGCTTATAATCAGAGTAGAGGGAATGGAGTAGCACTTGAGGAGGCTCCTCAGAATTTCATGTGGAAGCTGAATTGCAAAGACATTTCCCCAAGAAGGCATAGTGGCTAAAATGTAGGACTGGATGGATGAAAAGACCAAGATAAATGCGCACGTCACTGGTGCAGAATGCTGCCAACGTGACTGGGTACTGATCCACAGGGAGAGGCAGAAGAGAGAGCCTGCTGAGATTTCCATGGCGAATGGGAGTGGAAAAGGAAGCCTCATCTGTCAAAAGGGAGAAGTGAAGATGGAGTTGTGAAAGCCAAGGAGAGAAAGTGTTGAGAGGAAAGATAAAGTTGGCAGAGAGATGACAAAAGTAAGAGACAGGGATCAGTGAAGATATAAATAAAGACAACATCATTTAAGGAAACAGAAGTCACGAGAGCAATTTCAGTAGTGCCATGAGAGCAGATAGCAGAATGTCAGAAATACAAGACAGAGGGGAAAAGAGGCTTGGAAGTACTTTCTGTACATGATCTGTGGTATTGGTCTTGATGCGAGATGAGCCAAGGAAATGAGGAAATGTGAATATTGCGAATAACAGTGTGCACGCTACAGGAAAGTTAGTGGAGGCTCTGAAGGACAGAGAGGGAACAAGAGAGAGAGAGAGAAGTGTTAAATGCATATGAAAGAGAAGTGGTGTGAGTCTTAATATGTTTAGGAACTGGTCTATGCAGTCGTGCACTGTAAAAAGAAGTCATAGGAGAAGGCTTGCCAGCACGGGTGGAGAAAGTGTTTTCAGAGACTTTTCCTTCCACTATTTGAAACCCAGTGGATGGACGTACATCCTCTAGTATCAAAACTGGTTTTCAGACAAACCAGCAAGATAGAAAGGAAGACTCAACCATAAAGAGGGAGTTAAGGGAAAAGATGGAAAGATTTAGTTAGAGGAATATGGAACTATCAAATTAGCCTAACTGGCATCATCTATTGTTTCCTACAGCATCACCAATTCTCAGTTCCCACTGTACTGAAAGTCTGTGTAATGAAAAGTGGGATTCGGGTCACCTGACAGACAGGCAGATGTACCTGCTGACTTCTAAGCTTACGCCTGCGTCTCTTTTGTCAAAGATGAGAAGCAGGGAAAGAAAAACCAGTTTTCAAAGTCAGGGTCAGCAGAGACAAGCACATCATTTGCATTTTGCTTTATTAATATGGGTTAGCTCAGCAGGCAAAGTCTAGCATACTAATAAATGATTTCGTTATGGGAAAAATAGGGTCAGTTGACTGCAAATCATTTTTCCCTCTAAAGTAAATGAGGCACTGCTGATGGGGAGGCCGGGGGTGTGTGTGTCATATTTCATTTCAGTCAGGAAATACAGATGTAGGCTGAACCAAAAGAGCTCTGAATATTTCACCAAGGAAAAATTATGATGAAAAAGAGTCGGAGCTAGGCCCTGCAGTTATCACACAGTCCTGCTCCTGGCTGGTGATGGTTAGCTCCTGCTGTACTGGGTCCACGTGTTTTCCCACTGTGTTTAATCCGAGCAGCTCACAGAGCTGGCTCTATCCCTGGTTTCTTGCACAGAAACCCTGTTACCCCTCTGTGGAAATGAGATCTTTTACAGCTTCGCTCCCATAATCTCACAGAACATAACTGCTCCTCCCTTTACCCCACTCTCCCCATTAGCTCCAGCACAGGTTTGGTCCCTCCCTTCCTATAAAGTAACACTGAGTTACGGACTACAGAGCATCTCTTCGTGGACGCATGGTTGTGGAAGCAGTTGGGCACGTGCCTTTGAGGAGTGCTAGCACTGATTGTGCCTGCTGGGGCAGCTCAAGGCATATACAGATCTGTGCAAAATAATCAGCATCTATGTGTTTTTCCTTGCCTGAGTCTTCTGCTCTCCTCCAAGTCTTAGGAAACTTCTTTAGTTGTGAGTTGGATCTGAAAGGAGGATTGTCTTTTCTGTTCCCCTGCTCAAGCTTTCTGTGCCTGAGCGCACCCCCAGCCTGTCAGGCCCACAGTGAGATTAGATGGATCATCTCATCTGATCCAATAATTACTCACTGCCAAAAAGGGGCAAACCCACTCCACCTCCTCCCTAGCCGTGCACCCCAGCAGCTTCCCTCCCTGTGGTGCTGGAGCTCATCTTGTCTCGCAGCAAGGATTTCAAGGGACCTAAGCAAGTAGAAGACTACCTCTGCCAAAGAAAGTGAGCAGTATTTTTGTTGGATGAGCTGGGTGAGCCATCCCACCACAGGATCACACGAGCACAGCCTGGGGGAGGCAGGACTGCCTCCTTTGGTGTCAGAGAGCTGTTAGAGAGGCTTGGCGGCACCGTCACACCATACCCCACAGCACTGCAGAATACACGCTCAGTGCTGGTCCGTGCTCCACATCTGAGCAAATGCTCCCATTCCTCACTCCTGGGCGTCAGGCAGGACTGATTCAGCCTTCAGCTATCTGACTTTCCACAGATGCTCCCATTTTGAATGGGAGCAATTGAGTTTTAGTAACTCTCCGTGTTGTCACCTCTGGAAAGTGTGCGACTCGGGCCTGACAGTTCAGCTTTGCATCCACTGAGGAATTCAGTAATTCAGCAATTTCTTACCTTAAATCAGAATACAAAAATGACACACAGTCACAGCCCCCAAATTGTCACAGTTAGGCATGATGAAGCACCTACACATTGACCCCGAGCATGTGTTACTTTTTTCCTGATTATATTGGCTTCAGTACCAAAACCACAAGACTGGGATAAGCAGGTACTGAATTGAGATGAATTTATGCCTATTTTGTATTGAGACTAACATATGATTCAGTTTCCAGCACTATTATTAAAATGCAATTATGTAAGCTATGCCATATTTTGTGTTCCCATTTATTGGTGTAAATGAAGTGAGGGGTTTTTTATCTTTTGAAAAAAGTTTCCTCAGAAAACTTCTGGCACTCTACTCTGGTTTGCAGTGACCTTACATTGATATATTTTTGTGTGTGTGTCTCTGTGTCTTCCTTTTTTCTTTTCTTTCATGCTTTATCTGTTGGCACAGAGCTAAATCCAAATCTCAGCAACCAGTTCCCAGAGCTAAACAGCCAACCTACTGTCTTTTAACTGTTACTTTTTTAATTTTGTGGATCCTGGCCCTGTAATCTCAGACAAGAAAAGTTAAAAGCAGGGCAGCATTGCACACTTCAGTCTTTTTCAATGTATTTCTATCCTGCATGAACATAATCATTTTACTTAGATCCAACATATATCTAATATAGAAACCCTGATAGAACATTTGAGAAATGAGAACAACTATTTTGTCTTCAAATCTGGTAATTAAAAACTGATTTGTCAAACTAAAGAATTTGTCAAACACAAATTCTGTTGTGTTGGCTTACATCATAGTAGTATAATACCTGTAATACACAACACAACTACTTCTGTAATCCTTTGATTTGTTTTTGTCTGAACTTTAAATAGTACAATAAAATCTTCTGGATAAACAAATGCGCGTATAGAAACCTTGTGTTGTTACATAGGTTTCTAAACATAGCACTGTATGTTCATTTTGAAAGGAAAATCAACAACTGTTCTTTAATTACCACCTTTTAGTTCTGTTTACTTAGAGATACACACATATCTCTAAAGAAAGGAGCCTCCTCCTCTTCAAGGAAGTTATGCTATCACTGTGTCCCACAGGAAACTTTGGGCTACGGGGCCTTTCCAGCATGGCCAAGTGGATGTATTTCAGACCAATATAGATATTTGAACGGTGACTAATTGTACATGATTAAACATGTTTGTGGGGTTTTTTGTTGTTGTTGTTTTTTTTTTTTTTTTTTTTTTTTTATTGGTAGGATGACAGGAATGTTTACATAGCGGTCTGCAGAGGAATTGCTGCACGCCCCACTGCCTGTGGCCACCTCGGCGGGTGCTATGCTGATGTGGTCAAGAGGCAAAAAACGGGAGGTGACTTAAAGTGACTTCTACCCTCTGGCTTGTAGGAGGGCCCACGCTCGCTGCAGCAGCACAGACAGCTTTGAATGAATCACAGGATTCCAAGAATTAGCGACAAACCTCATCACGTGGGCAACCCGCAGCCCAGGAGCCGCCAGAACAATGCAGTGACTGAGGAGGCTGATGTGATCCCTGGATGTCGAATACCTTCCGTAGGAGTAAAGAGGTGATGTTACAGTAACATTATAGTGTGTCTTGTTCTGGTGCCCACGCTTGAGAAAAATGATGTTGATAATTTAGGTTTCACAAAGGAGCAATAAGAGTTACATGATATCTAAGCAAAGCTGATTTATGGTGAGAGGCTTACAATCAGTCTCTTTAGTTTATTGAAAAGAAGACCGAGAGGGAACCTGCTGATGAACAGTAGGCTGTGCAGGTTCTTAACTGCAAGGGGCTCTGTCATCCTACAGACAAAGATGTAGCCACATCCCGTGGCAGGAGGTGAAAGCTAGAAATAAAGTGTATAGAGCAGTTCAGGGTAAAGATCCATTAATTTCATCACAGTATTGTCTTTGGATCACATTCTGGCTTAACGGCCACAGGAGCCCTTTTAATTACTATGGCAAAGGTGCCGTGACATGCGTGTGTGAATAATTGAGATGATATGCTATGTAAATAGGGCCAAATTTGGAGAACCCGAAAGGGCTGGCTGGGACATCAGCATTTGAATAGCTCTTAAGGGAGGACTGTGCAGATCAAGGACTCTCCTGCTGCTATGGGCAGTTCCAGGAGATGCAGGTTATGGTCTTCCCAAAAGCATGGTTGTCCTACATTCTTTCCTGTGCTGTCTCTGTCATGTTAGCCTATAACACAGTATGTCATTCATCTTCAAATTCCTCCTTGGGGCTGGATTCGGGGAAAAATGCTCCTATGGTTCTCTCCCATTAAAATCAAGGAGTTTTCAGGATGTCTGAAGATAAACATAGAGTTCGGTCTTCTTTGAATGCAGCCAAGTAGCCTACTGATTGGGTCTAGGTAAAGAGCTGGTAAGGATCTTTCTTTCATTTCTTTGACTTCACACCAGTTTATTTCGTGTTGTCTATTTAGATGCCAAGTGCTTTAATGCGCAAACTGTCATTTCTATGGGTGCAGTGTTTGGCACAGCTGAAGCCTGACTTGATTGGGAGTTAGTTCTACATGCAACTTGAATGCAGATAATAGAAATTTATAATAAGGCTTGAATTAATGCTGTCTCCTGTGCTGTATAGTTTGACATCAGTGCTGCTTCATCACTGCAAGCATTTACAGAAGCTACAGTCTTTCTGAGAGGACTCATCAAATGCTGTTGTAGAAGGATTTTGTGCTTTGTCTCATAGCAAATGTTTTGAGAACTGGACTGTTTCTTTTCCATGATCATCACAAATTAAGACCACACACATTTCTTGTACTCAAAGCAGCACAAAAGAAATCAACATTTGCTAAACAGAAGTTAATCTGAATCTAGCTAAGGACTGAAATAATAATAATAATAATAATAAAAAAAAGACTTGTAGCATATACGGACAGTCACTAGGTCCTTGGGTAACTGCCTGCCCTCAGCTCCCTGCACATAGCTCTAGTTGTTAGCAGATCCTGGTTGAAATTCAAATCAGTTTTGGCATTGCTGCTGTCTTTTCTAATTGACTCTGTCGATACACTCAGCTAGTGGGAGGGACGGAGGAGCAAAGCAGGCAGAAAGGACCAAATGATTTCTAACACATGCTAGGCTATTCAGAGAAACCTTGTGGACGCGGGGGCCTGACACTGCACAAGCATTGGGATTCCCCGTGCCTTGCCATGGAGTACTCTGTCAGAAAACTGAGACTAATTTTTTTTTTTTTTTTTTTTTTCCAATGGTAGAACCATTAGGCCCAGACAGCGGTTGAAAACCACAGCTCAGTTGGCGAGGAGCGCCGTGCAGCAGCGGAAGCGCGTGGAAAAATTCTGGCTGACTCATCCATAATTCATCTGGCATCCCGGGGAATGTGCGCACTGGAGCGGGATCCCTGGCACTCCCACAAGGGAGAGACCCGCTGCCCCGGCGAGAGGTGGGCAGCAACCAGCCTTCTTCCAGCCGGGCACCCTCGCGGCCCCGTGGGTTCACTGCGGGGCTGTCCCGCCGCCTCTGAGAGGGGCTGGTCTCCCGGCTGCAGCACTGGGCAGGGCAGCCCTGGCAGATTTAAGGACTTGCGCTCCACGAGGATGCTGCTGTGGGGAAGGGTCAGTGGGGGAGCTGGCCCCACGCCCTGGGAAAACACGTGCAAGGATTTTGAGGAATCCACCCCAGCCCGTTCAATATTCACACCTTCACACTGGTGTGCGCGTGACGTAAACTCTGCTCTGAGCGACTCTGCTCTTGGCGTACAACCTCCTGCTGGGCTGTGTTTCCAAGGGCTCCTTGTGAAGGGTTATTAAATCTAGGTGTTATTAAGTCTTAATGATCTGTTCACACAGAGCCCAAAAGGTAGGTGGCTGCAACCCAGGGGAAAGTAGTTTTTAAGCCCGACCTTCAGCTTGGAGGTAGCTAAGCAACATATTCTATGCTGAGGGATGTCGATCACCTGATGAGGTTACTTTAAAGGTATGACTGGCCTGAAGAGACAAGTAGATAAAGTCCTGTGGGCTGTTTAAAAGAAAAACAGAAGAAACAGGATGAATATCAGAGACTATCTAGGCAGTAGCCTAAACTCAGAGAAGTTTGCAAGAGAATCTTACGGAAAAGAATGGTGACAAGTAGTGACAAAAAAATTACATAGACAAACGAAAGTAGATGTTAATTACTTGATCTCCATCCAGGCATTTCTTCCACTGCCCAGGGCTGAAGGAGACGACTCCTTCAGGACTGACTGCTTCCACTGATTTTCTGAAGAGATGAATGACGTTCAGAGTACTCAAATTACCAGAGCTGTGACATAAGCTTGCAGGAAATCTGTCTATCAACCATGAGTTCTGGGACTGCGTGGTCAGTCGCGCAGCCCAGGCAGAGCGAAGAGCTGGAGAGCATCTGCACAGGGTAGTGCCCCAAAACAGGGGCCCAGGGATGCCCAGCTGGATTGCGGATGCCCCAAGACGCCTGTAGATCAAGAGGGCTGTTTGCCATAGCACTTGCCGCAGCGGTTAACTTCCACCTGAACGCTCTGTCGGGGAGAGCATAGAATAACTTCATGAAACAAGATTCAGAACTCATTATCTGGCATGCACAAGTCAAAGCCATCAGGTACATTCGGAGTCTGCAAACATATAGCTACACAGAAGCTGTATTTCAGGAAATTGTCTTTTCAGGGCTGTGGTCGTTGTTGCTACCCTCAATGATTTAGAAAAGAAGAAAATAAAGACATAACAGAGACATAATCTAAAAAATGTAGCATGTATTGGTAATACAGATTTTGTCTTGCCAAAGCAAAGTTTCTTGACTATATGATGTTTTATCTCACATAGACTTCCAAGGTTATTTTCTTGTCTTAAATCTAATTACTTCCCAGTATTCCAGTTTGTTATATCTATTTTCATCTCAAGTTCTGCCACTGTTCCCGAGAGTACACTCCATTGCACAATTCTCTGTATTATTTATTTTGAGGCAGCTTCTGGGATAAAGAATTAGTCCTGGTATTTATCCACAGTTTTGACACTGGCCAGCTGGGTGACTTCTGGCCAAGTCACTGCACCTCTTCACCACCATTTTCCCAGCAGTAAGAGTGGGGTAATAACCTTTTTTGAAATCACATAAAGATCTGCAGGTGAAGTGCTATATAGTTTATAGTCACTGTTTACAGCAACAGTTTCACTGATGTAGTAGACTTGCATACTGAATTTTCCTTTTTTTTTTTTTTTTTTTTTTTTTTTACAGATGAAAACCTGAAGACCAGCACCTGTCAGAGTGCTTATTAACCTATAACAGAACTGGCAAAAACAGACGATCACCGAATGTTTCTTTTCCTCAACCTGTTTAAAACAGGCACAACAGTAAGAGAGACAAGCTTTTAAACTAGACACTTGTGACCTATTTGGAACATGTGCAAACAGTGCTGACTTTGCTCATTGGTTCTGATTTTTGTTTTCTTAAGGTGGCCTCCGAGGGAAGAAATGCAACATTTCTTATACCTGTGACTATGCTCACCCTCGGTCCAGCCAGGCAGGGGTGCTGCTGGAATTGCAGCAGCCCCAGGACATGGTAGGGAAGAACTGCCCCAATTTGAGAGGAAACCCTCGCTGCAACACTTGCTTTTCAGTCCTGCCCGAGAGTTCACTGAACTCCACGCAGAAGGTCTGTCAAGTTAGGAAAGTTTCCTGTAGTCTCTGCCTCTTCAAAAAATACCCAACAGCCAGATTAAATCTGTCTTGTAGTGACTTTCATGTCATCAGATAGAGGAGTTTCTAAAGAGATGCAAGCGCAATGGCCAAGTCACTGTGCTAGAGATGCATGAGTTCATTTTAAAATATGTTTCCCGTTTCACCCTTATGCATGATCTTCTCTTAAAAACAGTAAATTCAAATTAGTACTGAATACATTTTCTTAAATAGCACCAACTATGGGAAAGGCTCTTTCAACTCCATAACATATATCATCATGATACTGTAGGAATCTTGTACAGTATTAGTGTATCTTATCTCTGAAGTTCACATTTGGAGTTCAACTATGTATCAAAAAAATCCCCCTCTGAAAGGGGACATTAGTCAGCTTACTACTGGCTTGCCTTTTCTTTATTACCTCATGTTTATTCCCCTAGTTACATGCTGCATAGTTCAAACATTGCGTGTTAGTAGCGAACATCTCCATTCCTGTTCAGATACGGGGCCCTGGCTTTGATACCTGATACACTGTGCACCAATGTGAAGCTTGATTTACCAGTGAGAATCCAAGGGAGTTCAAAATCCTGCTGGCACAAGTGAGATTGGGGGACCAGGCCCAGGACTTTTGTTTTGGAGCTGCTAGTCACCGATTTTTGCAGTATTAGAGTCAACGCTTTGTCCATCCTCTCAGCCCTAGTAAACAAAGGCAAAACTGCGCAGTGCCTAATATTTTTATGTTTATTTTAAGAGTATCATCTTGCAATGCCAAATTCAAGAATTTGTCTCATGCATCTGTTGATTTTGTAACTAGAGCACTGTTGGTCAAATTGTTTTCCTTACTGCTTCGTAATTGTGGGAGGAAAACATGTAAGTGGATCGGAATTGTGCACCACAACAATGAATGTAACTCTCATTTAAGGCACAGGATATGAGATAGAGGGATCAAACTGGAGCCAGCTGAGGACAGCTCTTCTACCAGGCACTCCAGTTCCCCTAGGAGGATTTTATCCAACCCTTGAAACCTAGTTGGGATATTTCTTCCAGTAGAGCTACACCCATGGTGTAGGCAGGGTGCAGACATTTTAGCACAGTCAAACCATATGCAGCTTGGTTACACTTTGCTGTGTTCTTGGCAGCACTGAAGGAGCATGAATTAGTGGATTTTTTTCATGTATGTGTTTGTAAAAGGCACAGTACTGGATGTTTGACATCACTGAGGAGCCAAAATAAATATACTGTGGTAATGACCTTCAGGATGTGGAAGAGTATGCTGTATCACTTAATGATAAGTAAATAAACAGAATAACAATTCAGGCCTTGTTAATTTAACAATGGCTTTAAATTCAATACAGATACCTGGCCCCTTCTTACCATGCTTTTTAAGTTCTGCAGTAAGCATGGGAGGCTAGATGTTATCCCTGTACAGTATGTCCTTTCTTCTCAGTTAAAAATTAAAGCAAGAGGTCATTCTTGAACAGATTCAGACACCATACGGGGTTTTGATAAAATACAGGGCCAATTCTAGTTGTATACAGCCCTCCCTCCTCTTCCTACCTTCCCCTACTTTTAAGACTCATAATAAATGAAGAAGAGTTGTCTTTCAGGCAGTGTTGATGTCCACCTTCAGTACACTTCTCGAAAAGATGTTGCTGGATGTGTCACCGTTATCATTCATTTCTTCAGAAACATAGAGAACGTTTGGTTGCCAGAGCCAGAAAACATAAGCTCAGATAACTTGCTGGCCAATTTTTAACTACTGCTTTCACACACAGTTGTTACTAGCCATTCATTAACAAGAAAAGATTAGTACCTTGTTACAGCAGGGGGGTATCCTAAACTTTTCCTGCACTGCTGTCCCAGCAATGTTTGCTGGTTGTCTTTCCAGTTCACATCAGTCCCGCCTGAGCCAACACCAAGCTGTAAGTGCTTACTTGACCAAGGAACGTTTAAAAGATTTGTGTGGCTGCATTTATATTCTCTGTGGGTAGGCATGGTTATAATACTTCCTTTTCCTGCATTTTTCACAGTGATTCAATATTCCTTCTGTATATAAGACTGTGCCACTTTAATTATGGATCGTGCTTCCATTTAAATTGATAGAGAATTTGTATTAAAAGTTCAAAAGAGAAGTTGCTGCCTTCTCTGCTATTTATAGTGTTACTGCTTTATATAACTACATGTTTCCCATATAGTGGATGAATTATAACAGACAAATAAGCATCTCTGCCCACAAGGAACTTTTAGTTCTGCATAAAAAAAAGATGAAAGGATACAGAGCAGGAAAGCTCAACGCAGAAAACTGACTGAGGTTCGGCAGGTGGAGAGAAAACGCTGCAAAGAAGTAGCATGTCTGCAAAAGGTCAAATCTTATCCTAGAGATGAGGGGCAGTCAACAGAATTAGGACCAGCATTAATGTATCGTACTCCATAGAGCAGTTCCTGGATTAGCAGTGAAAATTGAGACGTCAGTAACTGAGGTGAAGAGGTTATTTTTCCTATGAAGTGTTTAATTTTGCAAGTGTATTTCCTGTTGCCCAAGCTCCGTCGCACCAATTCCAGGGAGCCAGGGATGACACGTCACTGAGTCACATCTCACTTCAGCTGCACCGCGCGTCTTCAGCAGCTTTCGCTCCCACCTCTTCAGCGTTTTGCCAGTGTTGCCTCCTGCTCTCCCCGCTCAGACACAAAGCTCGGGCAGGGGAGTGGGACTGCGAGCCAGCCCGTTCCTGGGAGGCTGCGCTCTGGCACCCGGCAGCGCGTGCGGGACCCGCTGGGGCCGGGTACAGACCCTCGTGCTGAATTGCATTAAATAAAGGAATTCACACTGCAAGCAGAGGCTTTGGAGAGGAAAAGCATGCTTTGAACAATATGCTGCCTCTAGAAGCCAAATATGTACTAAAAGAAATCGCTAAAAGCGAACAAATGCCCTACAAATCACACTATCTAAAACGGCATAGCTTCAAATTTCCCATACAGTGAGTTTAAAGTAAGTATCTCATGCCTGTAAAAATATTGTAAGACATTATAAAAGTTTCAAAGTCAAGCACCCATCATAATAAGAAGCAGGTTAATTTGGATTAAGTTTTGCAGCTTTAATTCTTTCCCTCCGAGTGCACTTGCATCCTGGTAGTCTTCATTTGTATGAGCACATATAACTTTTCCCGGCACGCAGAATGCTTGATTAAGCAGGAACCGGTCCACCTGTTTTTGTCAAATGTGCTAGAACGGGAGGGATGTCCTCCAGGTACCTGTCTTTCTCCATTAACTGCTGACAGAATTGAGGTGAGAACTTAGGTGAGATACCTAACACGCTGGTCAGTGAAGTGATTCCTGCTAGAAGTACTGACGCAGAATGCTCTTACTGGGCGTACTGGATCTGCTCCCAGTGAAGCTCACCACCAGCTGACCCACAGCCAGTGCAAGCCTTCCACAGAGAGAATGCTGTCAGGTCAAATTAGGTGTTGCTGATTTTCATGATTTCTTTGCAAATCCTTCAATACTTTTTTCAGCTGTCAAAGTCAAGGGCCTGCAGTCAGAATCCCAGCTTTTCTATTTTTTAAGCAAGTTCTTAATTGTTCTGTATGGCAAAAGCTTGTAAATATGAAAGGAAGGTCTCCTAAAAACTCAGAAAACAGATGGCAAATAACCAACCACCTACCCATCCTCTTGAAATGTCTTATTTTTAAGAAAATGAGCTTTTAAGCCAACTTCATTTGTGGGTGGGCATTGACTCATGAGTTTTGAACACTTACTGTGGCAATGCAAATCTGGATCAAAACTTAAATTTTATGTTTCCAAAAGCATCGTTGAATTTTTTTTTTAAAGCAACAGAAATGCTTGTATTCCATTTAGTTTTCAAACTATCCAAATTAAATATGTATTTTCAAACCACTCAAGCATTCCCTTGCATTGTTAGTAGTCAAAACACAAGAGGAACCTATTAGTGTATCGATCGCAGGAGGTTTTAAGAAGAGTTTAAGCAAGTCCCTGTCAGGAATGCTCACAGGAGAGCTGGTCTGTGGCGGGGACGGGAGGTCAGATAACCTCTCAGTCTTTCTCAGATTTTTGATTCCTAGAAAAGAAAACTGACTTTATTATTCAGAGACTTCCAGGGGGGCAGTACCATGCAGCTGTCACAAATCAGTGACAATACTGCGACCTTTATATAGGAAAGATTTTCTTACTGTACTCTATAGCATCCTCACGGAGGTATGTTCATAAGGTAAGTTAAAAGAAGCTGCCAAGTAGATAAGAGTCAGTCATTTTTGAGCTGATTAAACAATATTGTTGATGACAGAGGTTAGCATAGGAGTGGCTTGGCAAACAACAATAATTGCCTATTATAATAATAATATGTGCTAGAACAGGAAGCTACTCTTCCTCCAAGCTTCTGAGCATATACCTTGCAATCATGACAGCACATATAATGGCAAGTTAATCTTAAAAACAATCACCTGCAAAATCATGACCTTGTTTGAAATATTTTAATTGCTCTGTCATGCAAGTATTTTCCAAGGTTGGTGTGACTGAACAAAGTTAGAAAAATATTTTGCATTTTGTCAGATGATGTGTTTTGTAGATGCATGTTTTTGTACTCTTAAAATAAAAGGAGGCAACTGTCTGTACATCCTACAGGCTTCTGGTATATTTAATATATTCCATAAATCATAACATAATGATCGGTCCTGTACAGTAAAATACTACTATCTAACAAGGGCAGCAGATTTTCAGGATTTCAGATTTCAGCAGGTATTCAGGATTTCATGCTAACTTGTTTCTCTGGAACAGATTTGAAAGAGGCAAACTACAGATTGGCAGTAGGACTGGCAGCAGCTACAATAACTAAAAATTATTAAAACTCAGTGTTTTCACCTGACAGCTTCACATTCCTAAAGTCCATTTAAAATCTACTTCTGCCACTAAGATTAGCATGTGGAAGACTTGAATTTGTAGGTGTGAGAGATGCAGAGAGGAAAAAAATAGTTTCTCACATGTAAACATCTATTTTACTGAAGATCCAAGTGAGCTAAAGAAAAAAGCACGACAAAACTCCATCTGCGTGCAATTCCTGGAGCCTTACTCATCTCACTTCCTGATTCTCCTTTTTGGCCTCCTTTCCCTTAAGGCCCTCCCACCTCTATAAACACCATAACAATAATTATCCTGTCAGTGGAGACTTAAACATTCTTGACATCCTAACATCTAACAAGTACAGGACATTTCACAAAGGCCTAGCCTGGCTTTCAAGAACTGGGTCAGCTTGACACATCCCATGTGTTTCTGAAAGCCTGCAGTCTTTGAGCTTGCTCATCTATGGTAATGGGCACCCTACCAATGCACGGACTGGAAACAAAACACTGCCTGCTTTGCCAGGGGAACTTTAAAATGTTTCCCGAAAGCACCGAACTCGTACATTTCCATCCTAAACATCATACAGACGATGTCCTGGGGTGCCCGGCCGCGCGGCAGTTTCCAAACTCGGTGGTTTTGTGACCCGCCTGCCCCTCGTTAGTTTAAAGGGTACTGGAACTCTTCCAGCCGCTCGCAGGAGTCGGGCTGTGATGCACCCAGCCAGGGCAAGGGGAAAGGGAGCACCGAGTGCTCCTGCCCGTTAGCCCAAGGAGCCTGGACGGTTAGCTCTTTTCTTCCTTCAGTTCATCTGTTCCTGTCCTTCAACCTCACCTCGCTGGGTTACACACCACAAAGGGATTTTTTAGTCCAGGCCAATCTGGCCAAACGAACTCTTTCACTGTAGAAATTCTGGCCACTCTGATTTTTTTTCAGTCAGCCTTCAATGGTTTTTCTTGTTTTTCAACATTTAAATCATGCCAACTTGCTTCCACCCTCCGCAGAAATTCATGATGACTCAGAAATGGATCTTGACCCGCTAGCTAAGAATCGCTTCTCTAATAGTGTTATGGTTTGATATCTGTTTTCACAAAAGGAATAAACCAATGTGTCTCATTGCGTTTTCTATCCTGCCCCCGCATAAATTTGTCTTGTGAATAAAACACATTCTATCTAGCTTGGAGGGCATTTTATTTCTGTGTTCATTTTGACATTTTAGTTAGAATACGATGCTTGTACAGTAGCCCTGACAGCAGAGAATATAAAATCTTCTATTTATGATCTATCCCGATGAACAGATTTTCAGTTCTCCTTAAACTGCCTTTGACTACTGGGCAAAAAAAACCCCACCCTATGCATCAGAAAATGCTCAAAAATAATTGTTCTTCAGTGTGGAAACAGGATATGGTAAAGAGCTATGAACAATAACTTCGGGAGAAAAGCATGAACTATGAATAAACTTT